TGTTACACTTTGTTAATTGTATGTACTTAAAGAAAAACTTATTATACAATATCCTCTGTATATGTATAAGTATTCGTTATATTTCTGTATATAACTTCACATTTTATAGCTGACAACGGAATCCGCAATTTCACAGAAACAATGAAAAGGCATCTCACTAAAGCACTCAAAACATCCGCGACCTACGATCGTGCCGATCTAAAAATAGTCAGTTCTGAAAAAAATTGCAAAAGGAGAAACAAAATAAAACCCCATCACGACACGACAAATTGATGCCATCCATCCCTCTCTCGCTAACAGTCGCAACATATCACTCGCCGCACGTCCTCGCATTTTTCCTCTATATATTATTAATACATAAGTACAATCCGATGCACTCTTCCATCTACCCGACTCTGTATACGGCCATCTCTTTTTATATTGTTGGGTCTAGTTTTCCCAAGCGACCGGGCCTCGAGGGTAAAACTCCCTAGGGTCGGTATTGACTCTATGGAAGGAAAGTTATCTGTACACCTATTGTCGACCACCCCCCTCCCCGTCCCACTGACACCCCCGCGACGCCCGCTGAAGGACTTTCTTAAGCGTTTTACGTTTTATTCGCGAACCTTTCGCGTTTTAATTCAGTTCTGTTCAGCAATCTTGGACACTTGTTGAGTGATTACATATTGCTTGAATAACTAGTAATTTGGATAAATTTGCTAACTTATTAATCTTTAATTTTAAAAATAATAAAACTTGGCTAGATACGTAAATAGTCGTAGATGCTTCATTTATTAGGCTTTTCACGATCGCAATCCGAAAATGATTAATGATTGACGTATTTTTATAAACATTGCTACACTGCCAGAGTATGTAACATAGCTCTAGCTTAATAACATCACTATATGTATAATACTTTAAAATTTTTATATATTATATTTCAAAATAACGTCACCTAAAATAAAATATTATCTAGAACATACTAGGTATTAGTCACATTTTAGAAAGACATATAATGACAAAATTGATAAACATGTTATATGTCTAAACTTTGTACACACTACGTATTATTACATCTAATAGTACTATAGCGAGGGCAAAAAAAGGATTGCTGGTTATGGAGTCTAACATCGTCATTGCCTGCAATATCTCTATCTATGCAATGCCTATACGCGGTTCCTTTTGAAAATTATCGTGATTAATTCTAGAATTATCACAATGAGCTGACTGACCTGCTTTCATCCTCACCTATTATCTTTCTCCTAGTGTGCCGCCAGCGTATACCAATAGCGCAGGCTTGGTTACTATTCCATCGTCATCCATCAAAAAAATAGTAGTACAGTATCACGCCTAATGTGATATAAAGCTAGATACACACCGTGCGCTAATTTGGTAATGCGCGACATCCACACGTGTCAGGCACGTGTTTGGTCGCCACGCGACAGATTGACGTGACCGGGCGATTTGTTCACTTAACATGTTTATCATAAAAAGACAGACAGAAATATCGTTTGTAGAAAAATAAAAATATCATTCGTACCCTCTGGACATTCAATATCCAATCATATTTACATGAGAAATTTATAACATGGCACTAGTATACTTTTTACTACTGTAAATACATTTTAACTTTAAGAATAAATTCACAAAAAATTTATCCTGATATATTTTTCCAATTTTTTCCATATCAGTACATATCTTGTACTTTCACATTCTTACACTGTAATACGAAAAGTTATGAATATACTTTTTACTTTTAACATGGAGTAACTTATTAGAATACAATTTTAATATTCTCTTTCTTCTATTTCAAATATTTCTTGTAGTTATTGCAAATAAAATAACTAATATGTATGTATTCATTCTTACATATTTTTATCATGTATTTCAATCTATCAAAACAGTTTGCTAATAATAATAATAATGCAAAGATGTATCTAGTTAGTTCGAGAACAGCTAACTAACTTTTAAACGATCATGTCTAATAGATAATTCGATTAATATTTTTATGGAAAGAAAAATCTGGAATATGGACTCGATAACGGTTTTTGATGAGCGAATAAATTCTAAAATTAATTATATAAAAATTAAGAAAATTGCAGTAACAAAATGACAATGTTCTTCGATTAAAAATAAACACAGCTAATATCTATTGCTACAAATATGTAACTGCATACGTGATTAGGGCATGACATCCGGACAAACGCGTGGATCAAACGCAAGCCACGTGCGCCGCACACGACGACAGACGAGGTCGACTAAACGCTCATTTGGATTATTGTATCGTAATCGAGTTAGACAAATTTGTACTATGTGTTCACAGCCTTACGAGATTGTGTTTCAATTTAGTTAAAATGTTTTATCGACCAGTACAAAATCCTATAGTCTTCTAAGTTTATAGTCTTCTAATTGTTTTAGTTTAATATTTGGAAATGTGAGTGGTCATAATAATAACTCTGTATTGACATTTTGGTATCGTAGTTCTTTAATTCTCAAATGCAAAATAATTGCTATCTGACAGCTTTTTTTTATCTCTTTTTATCATAGTTTGTCACTCAAACTATTCGTATAATAAATAAAAATAAATATTTTTTAATTAATTACAGCAATATAAATAAATTTAAATAGTTTAAGTATTCAAATTTAGCGACGTAATTTTGATATGTTAAGTACTATATTAACTACAACAGTATCAATCGATAAATACCACTGAATATCTCATCAATAATTAGGTACAGTTATAAACACATAGAATCGTAAATAATAAAGTAACAATTTTATTTATATCATACCTTGTATGTAAATAATGTCTGAATAATTTTCCTCTAGAAAACAAGAAAATCTATGAATATAATGAAATTAAATGTGAAAATTTATTTTACAAATATAGTGATACAAATTTAAAACCACGTATTCTCAAAGAACTCCCAACATTAGAACTTAAGTATAGAATAAAGAACTCACTTAACGATGCAAGAGATAAAAACATTATAAAATTATTACATCCGGAGATAATCTACATTTAAATGAATTTTCAAAAGTTTCTGATATATTCATCTTGAATCAAAACTAAGACCCGAAGCAACGTCCTGCAAAATTATTATTAAATCACCATAATTAATTTAAGATAACAAAACGAAATACAAAGCGGGCTGCCTATTTTAATGCTAATACAAGTAACACGATCCCCATTCTTTACTCATACAATTAGAGGTCCGATAAACCCATGCATTATCTAGTCAATCCAACAATAGAAATTATTACCCTTGCACCAGAGCAAAAATTGTTAGTATAATATTTCAAGTGGGGCGCAAATGGTAGCATGTGTGAAATCACAATAGCTTAAAAGTGTTTTTGTGATGTGATAGCTGTATGATGGATGGCATTATGGCAGTATGCCATATCTTTAGGATTTAGTGGTAGTAAATTAGTGCTAATATTAAAATTACCACTAACATTCATTTTATGCAACATGAATGCTAAAAACATTAACAGCAACTTGACCATCACAGAATACCTTATGATATTTTATCTCTTATGCGTTCCTATTCCTGAGGACTAAGATGTAATGCATCTCTGCCTAGTTAATATTTACAAAAATCTACTTAAAGAGATTCCAAAGTTTTCATTCCAAGTTTGCAGAAAAAAGCAGCCAGCCTGTAATGAATAGATGCGGAAAGCAGAGGATGGCACATAGTGGGATGAATTGGAGAAGGTCTATATTCAGTAATAGAATACAGGGAGAAGAAATTGTACGCTGCAAGTGGCTCAGATTCATCTTAGTAACAGTATTTACGAAAGAAAATTATTCTTAAGCAGCAAGTATTATTAAGTAGACAACGACTCGCTTTGTTATCTTGATTTTAAGGATAAGATATTCATAGGCTGCTCATGTCTATAATGACTATACACTGTACATTGAACTCCTTGAGTACTTTTCATTTCAATTTAATGACCTCGACGGGGTAGTGGTGGGCACATTTTTTTTATACAACTTAGAATGGCAAACAAGCTGACGGCCCACCTGATAGACAGTGGTAACTGTCACCTATAGACATGAGCAATACCATGAACAGAGTATACTGTTTCGCCCATGATACCCCCCATGCGTTGCCATTCCTGAGGACTCAGGTGTTATTCCTCTGTACCCATAAATTCACGCCATATCCCACCCTTCAAACCGAAACACAGCCATGCAAACACAACTACTTTACGGTAGAAACACGAACGGGACAGAGTTACCCAAGCAATCGACTTTTGTACAAAGTCTCCCTCTGGTAAAATTAAAAGCACATTACTTTGCTTAATCAAGATCTCGGGTTCAATTCTCGATAGGGTCAATTTAGGTTTTTTTTTTTATTCGAGCCTGGTGTTCTAGCTTTAGCACCAACAATTGCTGTAATTGCATAGCACTTATTATTGTTAAATATGCCTTCAACTTACCACTTCATTATCTTCCATATTTCTGGACATTCAAGGCTCTATTACTGAGTACTTCCTTGGCAATTATCGACCTGAGTACTTTTATATTACATACATACATACTTACTGCACTGTTTTTATTTTTACTGCTGTACTCAGTTTATAAATAAGTACTAAGTAACTTAAATAAAATAAAACTTTGCATTTCAAATAGTCATAAAAATTATATTCTTATATACTCCTCATTATCTCTTTGAATTCTGCTAAGCAAAGTAACTGAAGTTTGCATTGCAAAACAAAGTTTTACTTACAGTAAAAATTATTTTTAAATAATTAAATAAATAAAACTCTTATATTTATTACATTTAGAGAAAGATTCCCATTATTAAGATATTTGTTAAATAGTATACTATTACTCTGATAGTGTAAGATCTCATGTCTCAGAATAAAGTAACTTGTCATAAGTATGTAAAATATTTAGTTATTAATCTTATATTCGATAAAACCATAGGTGAAAAGCCTTACGAACTCGGTTCTTGTTACTTGTACTTATCGCTTGTGGTAATTAACATATAGAAAACACAAATAAAACCGCTATATAATTAATTATTTACGTTATTTAATTTCGTACTTCGTGATAGTTTGTTTCATGAACGATTACAATGTACATATCTTATTTGATACACAATAACTGCGTTAAACAATATACGTGACTACATATTTCATATTCAGGGAGATTCGCCTCGAAAACGGATTCCGTGAAAATCCAAGTAAAGTGTTCTTGGGAGAAAATTTATTTTTATATTTCGTATACATCTTTCTTCATTTCGAAGTGAGATTTATTTTTTCGTTGTACCCTTACATAATACTCTCATAGTTTTCTATTTAATTCATATAGATATGTTCCGTTTCGAGATATGATCGTTACATATTTTCCGTTGTAAATCGAGAAACCAAGCAGTGAGGAAACAATTCGTCTTAACTCTAGTCAAGTTTAAGATTTCAAAAAATTTATACATTAGAATAAAATTTACAACAGTACTTACAATAAATATATCACAGATTGTACAAAAACAAAAATTACAAAACACACTTACAAATTGCAAAAGGAAGATACAATTATAATTAGATAAATATAACTTTTTTTACATATAGTTCTGATGTAGAGTTGTTTCGCCCTGAGCATTTTCGTTGTCGCAGCAAGACATAATATTTCATTGGGCTTCATATTTATAAAAATCTACACTATACCCGATCTAGCAATCGAACTATTAATATAATAATAATAATTTCTATTATTTACATTTAAATTACAATAAGTGATATATACATTTACCTACACACGCCGCGATATTCTTTGTTTTTTTAAACTTTATAAAAATTTATAACTTTTATTTATTACAATTTAAAAGAAAAAGAAACAAATGAATAATCAATACTTTAGAGCCCTTACTGATTTAATTATAATTTTAAATGAAATAATCGATAACATGATAAAAATTGTTAAAAATCGATTAATTCTTAATTTCCAATTAAATTTTATTTCGTTCATTCTTACCTAATATTTATGCTGAAAAAGTTTAAAGAAATAAAAAATGAGATCGTAAGTAATATTTCTGATACGATTTGGTTTGTGATTACAAATATTTATTATTATTATTGCCAACAGCAATATTTATTATTTAGCAATATAAAAAATAAGACTATAATGAAAGACATAGGTACTGCGTTGTCAATCATTATCTATGTCTGTGGTTTTAAAGATTATTATTTTTAAATTTAATAATAATTTATAAATTTAAATTTATCAACAAAATATTTGCACAGATAAATGACGAACAGAAACTAACCAGTAACATTTAATGCGGTCGCGGTGTAGTAAAACGAGGGCTACTTGGAAGCGAGAGGGGCTGTCTGGGCGTACTGTTGGGCGCTGCACGTTGGCAAAGAGAATGGATTCACACTGAATGGAGATGAAACAAGGCCGCTCATTCCTGTAGACAAAAAAGGACCACTTTAATTTTTCTTTCAATATATTTTAATAAACTAGATACTAGACATATTTTTAAATATTCAAAACACAGAAATAAAAGATCGTTAAAAACAGTGGCAAAATTGTATAACTCAGATGTATACAATTTATCTTTGAAATAAATCGAACGCGGCTAGGGATGTACCATTTGAAGGTTTCAAGTATAATCTATACACGAATACCTTGTTGGTAACTGAAACTATTAAATGGTACGAACTTGTAAATTATAATTTTCAATTTGTATCAACCGAAAATTCTTTGCATTCACAAATAATCGAAAAACTTGTAACAGATGTCTAACATCCACAATCACTAAGTTCTTTCGAGCATAAACATGGGAAAATATCCAAAGCTTGGGGATAAATAATAAAAATCGCGAGATTTAATTTCGATCAAATTTCGATCTTTGATTTGCATATTATACTTAAATATCTACAAGATAGTCCATTCAAATAATGTTTCTAGATAAAGCACATGAATAATTTTCTAAAAGTGTCTGTAGCGATTATAAAATTAAAAAAATAAATAGTGATGTGATAAAAGTGTAATGATTGCAAGCGTACAAAGCACACACAAAACAAACAAAAATAAAAAAGCTACTAACACTGAACGGCGAGATGTTGCCAATTCGGATGGTGTTGAACATTGGCAACCCTTGGCGGACTCTGTCTCACTACAGCAAAAGCGCTTCTCTGTTTACTCTCTTTACTCTGTGGCCCTTTCATATCGCTGCCAGTGCATTTTGTATGAGTATTTGCCGGACAGTCGGCCATGCTCTTAGAATTCACATTTCTTTCACTGTAATGTCCGCTATCTTCCGTATTATACGCGTTATAGTGATGGTCAGATGACAAATTTCTATTCATGTTGGCTGGATGATACGGGCCAAGAGACACTGGACGGAATAAGAAAACAGGGGTTAACACAAAGCGACGTATACGAATAGTCAGCGTGCATTGAAAGCGTGGAAAATGTGAACTCAAATCTTATTTGTGCAGTTCTAACATGACTTTATCTCAATGTATTTTAGCTTATCTTGCAGATTTTTAATAGTTTAAAACACAAACACGGTATACTGTTCAATAAATATATTTATATTATAGATTTTTTTTATATTACCAATGTACAAGTATTAATTAGTAAGAATATAGTCTGTTGATTGTAAATATTTACCATAGACAATTGCGATACCGATATTGTGAGTGCATATGTTAATCTGGTTGTATTATAGATTTTTTCACTAATAACTTTATGGAACATATTATCATAAAAAGAAGAATATGCATTTTGTAATTTTTTGAATTTATCCAATATCAAAAACTAGTTTATAATACCAAAATCTATAACAAATTCTTACAGTGTGATGTTTGAATGACTGGCTAAAACAAGACAGTAATTTGATGAAAATCATCTATTTGATGAAAATCTTTGAGGAAAAAGTACATATATACGCACATAATTAAAAAAACAGTTGGATTAACAAGTTTTTAGATGAACATTTAAAGATGATAATTTAACACTATATTATATTAAGTATTATTGAGAGTGTATTTAGATGAATATGATATATAATGGTAAATGCGTGGTAAAAACGTGGGGTAATGCTGCGGATGTAAGTAGATTGCGGGCGTAGTGTTTACTATGAACGTCGAAAAACTGTGAGTTTATTTGTTACCTATTAACATTGTTTAATTTATGACCGAATACTTATATTTTATGCAATTATTATGTTATATATATTATTATATGCATTGCGTGTGTATACACGTATGTCATAATTGTATAAATTTCATTATATATTACCATGCATGCAACATATTAGTGCATATTTCACCACAAAGATATTTATTTACTTCCGAAAATGTTCTTGGCTCTATAAAAATAGATATATAATATGAGAATTACGCAATTTAATGTTAAATAGTGAGGTAAGTGATGCAGAGTAATATTACACGCGCATACCTACGGTGCTAATTAGATTATATTAGTCGCCACATGTATGACAAATTAGTGCATATTTCACCGCAAATAAGAGAGTAGATATCTAAGTGTGTACTTCTATTTATAAAAATAGATGTAGATAGAGATACAATATAGATATAGAGAGACTTACGCGAGGTAGTGTTGAATAGTGAGGTGGGCGGCGCGGGGTAGTGCTGCGGGTGTGGGTAGGTCGCGGGCGCGGCGTGCGGCGTGGACGCGGCGGAGCAGTACCGCGGCGACACGGAGCCGCCACTACGCGCGTACTCCTCTAAAAGAAAAAGCCTGGGGTCAACAACAAAGTATCGTTATGATAATTGAATTAATTATAATAATGATTAATACTTATAATGTAAGCAAGTAGAATTGATTAAAATTATTTTTCTCAAACATGCTTGGAAATGTGAGCATTATTTTGACAATCTTCTTCGAGATAAATCAAAATTGCTGTATTGGCCAGATACATGCGGGCAGCGGCCGGCAAAAGTTGTATGAAAATCCACATCTGTCGTGTTTTGCGGTCAGATAAATTACTATGTAAACTCATATCTGTCCTATAATTTAAAAATGGAATGACCTTTTACTTCGAAACATGGCTACCAAAGAGGTAACTAATTAAAGGTTTTATTTAAATTTCGAACTGGCTTGCAAATAGAAAGCTGTTTATTGAAAAAAAAACAAAGGAACATTATGGCGCGTGAAAAATTATTATTGTTCGTTATTCGTCATTGAACTTAAAAAGTAAAATTGTGTTTTTGATTTCCGCGCATTGTTTGAGAAAAGTACTATACAAGCCTTGGCCACAACTAGGCATTGATGGACTCACGTATGTGTGCCTCGGCTGCGCCTCGGCCCACATTTGCACCTTCGTCCATCAATGCCTCAGTTGCTGGCCGCTGCAGTAATGTACTATATCTTTAATAACAAAAAAAAGTTATCAAGCAGGTTATTAAAATAAAATTATTTTAATATTTTTGAGCTAAATTCCTTTCCCTTGTTAAGTCTATAATAAATCTCCATATCAGTAGTCCTTACGTACTCATTTAAATTAAAAATAAATATAATTATACTAATAAAGTAATTATAAAGCACATGCACTATAGTATACCAAAACAATATCAAACCCACCTTCAGTCCACTGCGACGCTGCGGTGTCCTGAACACTAACAGCTAATTGTCCAGTATATGAATTGAAGGGCATACTGGCTGGTGGCGACCTAGGTGCGCCCAGCCCTAGCTGGTTGTTACGAGGCATAGAGTATAGGGCTTCGGCCAGGTCAGCTGCTCTCTTTAGAATTATTTCCTGTGAGATAAACGTTAGGTTTTAATATAACAATTTAATTATAAACCCTACAAAACTGTGTAGGTATATTGTGTATCGGAAAACACTAAGTGGCATACTTTATTACCATAAAATTTTATAAAAAAAGTCTTTTATTTACATTACCATAGAAACTCAACAAATTGAAACATACAATTAATTGATTTTTTTTATTTGTATTACTTATTGGACAACAATAGAATATCTCGTACTCGAATCAATTATTCGTTTGTTTACATGGCCATAAATTTCAAATTACTTCATTTAAGATTACATTAGTAATAGGGAATATTCATAAAATCGACTTAATATTTATTTAAGCTCATGTAAGATCTTTGGTAAGACAGAACATAACCATAATGCCGACATTCTGTCTTCATTATATCTTATATATCCCTCACTAAATCCACTTTCATAATAAATTCATCTCATATACACCGCTCTAGATTTCAATATAAAATAATTTAATACAATTATATTAATATATAATACCTTTGGTAACTTTTCCGGATCACCAGGATGTCTCGGTATAAGCTTCTGTAGCCTCTGAAACCCGTAATCTATGGTAGGCTCGTTGAGAGCTGCTATGCGAAACAAGAAAAACAAAATCAATCATTAGTTGTTCCACTAACAAATGAAACCCTAATTGATGGATCGTAGAAGAGATTGCGTATCTGAGTTCCCAAATTACGGCTTATTTGAGGAAAAAAAGTATCTTGAAACATAATGAGATTCTTCTAAACAATAAACATTTTTGATGGAATTTTCCTCTTGTCATTATGTGTATCAAGACATTTATTTAGCACTATATTGTTTTTTAATTTCTATATAATTTTATGGAAATAACGAACGAAATAAGATATTTAAAAGACTAAGATCATCAAAATGTATGTTAATTTCAAAGGTTCCCTAAACTGGGCAAAGCAAGATTCAACGTCGCGTGACCGTTTTCATGTCAACTATTTCGCTATGTGATCTACCTAAATTGATTTAGGTACAAGGAAGAAATTATTACAGCTCAGTTGTATGTAATATAAAAGTGTCGAAGTTTATCAAAGTTAAAAGATGGATCTTTGAACTGTAGACCCTTTGATTATCAAAAGGATATTAATGGTATGTTAAGTTGAGTTTACTTATTTTGAAAGTTTTTGATCCTGAGTCACAAAAAGAAACTATATTATCAATCCATAATATTGCAAATTTTATTATTATAAAACCACAAGAATTGAGAACTAATCTTAATTTACAAATCCACTCAAATCCAGCATAAAGAATTAATGCTCATATTCCAAATTCTAAAATGGTACTACAGACAACCAATATTAATACTCGTAAGTGTCTACTCCTACGTTGTAGAAAAGGATTCATGTCGAGATCAGTTAATGAATCTGAGACCACATACAAACAATATAATAAATAACTACTCACAAACATAGACAAATCTTCCTGGCGCTCCTTTGCAGAATTGTTTGCTCTTGTAAGAAAGCGTTACTTCAACGACCCCTGGTATGTGTCTCGGTGGTGTTTGTACTCTTATTGCGTGTGACGTTATCAGCTATTAATAAAATATTTAAGTTTACAAAAAAAAGATTTTAAAAATTCAAATTCATATGACATTTTATTTCTACGGAGTTGACTTAGAGACGAAAGTAAGTTTAGACGTATTATATTTATTTAGAATTTTACAAAAAGGCATCTGATCTGATAAAATTTTCAATATGTTAATTCAAGGTTAGAATAAAGATCTAATAAAATAAAATTACTATAGTTACTTTCAACGAAAAACAATCTCACCTCACTCCAAACAAGCATCGTTCCAAAAACAACTTGCAGTCCGTCAAAGAAGTTATCTCCAACTATTATGACTGTTGAACCGCCTGAAGTCCATCCTTCACTTGGTGATATCGCTTTGATGCACGGCGTTGCTACCGGCAAGGGAGGGTATAGACCAGCTAGTGAATTGAGAAAATAGTAGTTAGTCGCAAATTGTTTAAAATAGATGAATTTAAGGACAAACAAAAATTAAAAAAAAAACATGTCGTTTCCCTTACAAGAGATAAAACTCTCAAACCTAATATATGCCTAATATTTTTATAATGAATAAACGTAAAAGTATTATAATTATTTATATATAAGCAACCTTTCTCTTATTAAAATTATATAAAACTTTTCCACTGCCTTATTTGTCTGTTGCGGCGGTCTTTATTAAAATAAGCTGCACTTTATCTAGTAGAGGTTTATTTCTACAATTATATAAAATTCAAAGCAAGGTATAAATTACAACAATAGTTAGACAAAACATATAAATATCAGGCACAGCTATAAATGGCGCCGTAGTAAGCAGGAGTCCCTCTTTCCGCAAAAGTAAAGGCTCAACAACTTAAAAGTTGAATAAACGCCAAACAACTAAAACTCATTCTGTCCTACTTGAACGTTTATCTTTGACTGCTTCAGAAAAAGGACAATTGCACACTGTAAAAGTCGATTCCACGGTCATAGAAAGAGTAACATATCAGTTATGATAATTGAAATTGAATTTTAATGTAAAGCGATAAAGTTGGAGATAGGGATGGAATTTTACGGTTGTTATGACATTGTCGTAGTGCTGGGCGATGCAAGGCTGTGGGGGACACGCGTCGGAAGACAACAGGGGGAATCTGAAATCTTGGGAACAAAACGGCGCGGTAATAAAGACGGGAAGAAAGTGAATTTAAGGGGACTAAAGCAGATTACGTTCGAGGTTCGTTTTTAATTTGTCTGATATAATATTAATTTTTCTTCGCTTCTCCTTTACCATAGATACCGCCTTATTTTTTAATATTATTATTATTATCGTCATATAATACCCATCGCTGTTAAAAAGCACTCAGTATACTCATCTACTATACAATTATTATTCTACAAGGTTCACAAAGTAAACGTAAAATAAATGTATGAATAAGCGAAGAAGAAACCAATTGTATTGTGAAAAAAAAATATTTTTGTCTATCTAAGCCAAGATCTAAATAAGAATTTCGGTGTAATCAGTCAATTTTATAAAACGCTAGTTATAACGATAATATATAAATACAAATAAGGATAATAAATATATTTAAATGCTTTTAGGAATTATAAATAATGAAAAGTAAAATAATATATTTAATTTTTATTTATAAATAGGTTTTCTGACGAGATATCTTTACTATAATACTACCTCTGACTGATACAAAGAAAACTGGATTAATTCATCTGGGATATACAGTGAACAGAGTACACTGAACCATCATCACACTGATTCATCTTTTATTTATTTAATATTGGTGCAATGAAGTGTGAAATAAATAAATAAATCCGCGCCAATGTTGTCAACAGAATGAAATTATCTCGCGCCAAAGAGTTTCCTTTAATATTATCGTAGAGGGAGAAAGACGAAACAGCAGGCCGAAAATAATACCATGGTGAAACCGAATTACCAATGATACCTGTGCAAATTTTCTCATTCGCACCGTGTAATCCCTACGAGTTGGTTTCACACCGTCTAGCCGCTTCAAAACTTTTGACGCTCCTACAATGTGGAGGGGAGTTTTCATTTAATATTCTCTATGATAATATTTAAGAACAAAATTAATTTATTAAAACAACTACTTAGGTATATGTGAAATATTATGGCTTAAAGAACACTATATTCTTCAATTAGAAAATATTGCAATTTCTAAATAGGAACTTAAAAGGAGAAACTTACTGATTAATGCTCAATAGAAACTATTAGTTTCATAGAACTATGATAGACTTAGGTTTGTTGACGATGTCGATTATTACCAGAAAGTTAATCAAAAATACCAATACAAATGCATAGTTGCAGTATCAACCAGAAGGAACACCGACCGCTAAGTCTGGATAGTAAACTACTAAGCAAAATGGTTGCCAATGACCCATTAGCTTTTTATTCTTTAATCAAAATGTAAAAAAATTTTTACTTCATATTATTATTAGCCTTGATTTATAACTCAGTAGATCAATTTCTAAAGTCAACAGGAACGTTCCATACTAAAGTAACCTCAAAATACATCTTCTAACTTTTACAAAAGGCATAATTCCTCACTAAATTATCCCTACTCGTTTCATGCTCGCTTCAACACCCCCCACATCCCTCCCTTCGTCAGAAGTTCTTTGTGAAATGTCTACAGTGATTCCTTGCATACAAACGACGTCTTCAAATGGTATATTATGACTGCGCATTTGTCGCCTATTGACTATGTATCTTATAACGTGCAATTTGGCACTATTACAATTTTTATTTGAAGACCGCAGGTTGCAGGCTTAGTCTAAGTATGAACAAAACTTACTATAATTGAGTATAAATTAAAAGTAAATATGTATTCAATAACCAAATTCCAGTAAACAGAAGAAGAATCCTTTTTAAATTTCGAATATGATTTTAACCTTTTCAAATTTGGAAATTGATGTTGTCAATAAAAATGTAAATAAATTATGTCTTTTTTCTCGATGTCCTCTACCCAAAGTTGATCTGGAAAAGATTACTTAGCGAGAACGTCGACTTTTATATCATTTCTCATTACAATTACTTTTTAATTACATTACTGTAATTTTTTTTAATGATGTTATAAAATTTAAATAAAGAAATAAAAGTAAAAAAAAAACTTGAAAAATGAAAAATTTAAAAATAGAAATAAAGAAAAATAAAACAAAAACGTACAAGTAGGCTCTGGCGCGCCGTCAATACCTTCAGTGGGGTCTAGTCGCTTTGCTCGTCGGCCGTGTTTGCTGTTATTGTGAACGAACATATTATCTGATATCGCTAACAGGGGCCCGTCCACCATCACTTGTGTTGATATTACCACCTGCAACAATAATAACTTTTATTCATAGGCATGCTTTGTTATGGACTCGTGATTCTACCATCGCTTTTATACAACATAAACATTAAACCTATACTAAATCTCAATTTTTGACAACTATGTTTACGTGTATCTACATAGGAAATAATTCTTGCAAGCATCTGATGTTCTTTTATAAATACAACCCCCAAAGCTTTTTAACTTCGATAATATCTATTCTATAAATAAAATATCCATATCCTAATAAAATTCCCGGTGGCATTTGTAATCATGTTCTTTCTTTAGCACTACTGTAATGTAAAAATCATTAGAGCCAAAAATAATGAAAAATAAGTATATAATGAGGAACTTTTTAGTTTTTTTTTTAATTATATTAACTCCAAAAATACTACACCGATTTATAAAAAATATTCTCCTAAAGAAATCTATATCATCAGAGAAGTACAAGGGATGTATTTTATTTAAAAAAAAACTCGTGTCAAACCGAGGCAGGTCGCTAATGAAAAACAATTACGAACACTAAATCTAAAATAATGATTAAAATAATATATGAACTTACAGTAACAGGAACTATATTCATCCTACAGTAGTCATTCTACGACACAAGAAGTTCAAGATCATAGAGAGGGACCCCGAATAGAGTCACTAAAAATAAAATCCACCGAGATACAGCGACCCGCGGCGATATTTCACACAAACATTCGGAATGCCGACGCACACAGCCAGACGTACCGAAAGGGAGAGTCCCTGGGGAGGAGCCACCGTCTCGGGACTCGACGAAATGGACGGGCTCCCGGTAGGTATGCAAGGAAGTGCATTGTGCGCATATATGTGTGTGTGGCGTGGGTGGTCGTTTGATAGACAGGTTTTCAATCGATACGGCTTTTTTGTCTATACTATAACAGAAATGGAATTAGGTATTATGTTTTAAGTCACCTCCAAAAGGAGAAGATTGCCAATTTTTTTTTTATTATGATTACGTAATTAATTCTGGACAGTTTTTAATAATTCATTTTTTTATTAATACTTCCGCGTTGGTGACATATTAATCTGAATCGGTTGTTTTAAGGAAAAACACTAGTATGTAGGGAAGAAAAATCTTCTTAGATATACAGAATAACGCGTTCCGAATTCAAACATTTGAAATAAAAATACTAGTTCAACAGTGTATTTTCTAGATTGTTAATATCGTTTCTTCTATGCGGAGTAAAATATACATTTATTTAAATGAATATTTATACTTTTCTTTTTTTTTTTTAAATAAAATCTCTCCAAACAAAAATGTATCATTCCGCTTATTTTTACGAATTATTTTTATTTGAATTGTTTATATTCCATGTCATTTTAAGTCAATCGATACAACTATTAAAATCAATATGATTTTTTTACATTTAAATTCATTTCCATTTCAGTTTTATTTACAATATTTTACAATGGTCTTCTAAATGATTTCTTTATGAGACTTTAAAACAAACACTGTTATATTCAATAAAAGGACTCTACAATGCAGAACACCGCTCGAAATACAATATTCACATACGATAAAGAGACTGCATTATTTCGATTCGTGCCACCATCTATAAATATGTACATAGTTATATATTGCACCCATATATTCTTACCCTTGAAACGTTGGGGAACGACCACTGAATTATTCAATGACACACAGAAAGCCCAAATATAGACATAACTACGCACACAAGAAGACATTGCTAGTACAGGTAACTACTGCATACAGAAATGAGCACTATGTGTGTATTGTAAAGTTCTATATTTGATTAAACTTTGTAGGAGGACACGTAAGACAAATATGTCTTAGTCGTGGAAGCAAATTTGTACTCATAAGTAGACTGTGAATGCACCTTTACGGTTAGTTGTGTTAGGGCTGACACTAATTTGGTGATATTATAATTATCTTACTTGCAACGTTTTAATGACTACTTACATTATAAAAAATTAATTATCTTCAATTTAGCCATTTTATTTTCAAGTAACATAGATTGGCAATAACATATATATGAAGAATACTATGAGCCATTCCTTGGTACTAACTTTCATATCTTTAAACCTAAACATAGTCATTACTATTATGAATCTAATTATTATATTATAAGGAAAGTATAATAAACAGTATCATGTCACAATATATAAACACCACAGTGTGGTACCAAACCCCCAGCAGCAGTAATTCTGGACAGATATGACATTGAAATCTTAAAAAAAAACATACTTTTTCTTAAAAAGCCAGCAACATACCTACAATTTCTCTAATGTATATGCATATGCGCAGCAGTAATCATATGCTACAAGCTCATTTACCCCCTAGACTATAAAAAAATCGATTAACCCACGTATACCTACTGCAGAGAAATCTGAGTATAGGCCACTTTTATAGTACATGAAAACTATTTATTTTTTAGTGTAAATAAATAAATATTCTCAAATGAATATTAATTCATTAATTAGTTTTCCAGCTCACCCCTTAAAAATCAGCAAATAAAAGACGCACAATTAAAAACCGTCATAGAAAAAAGTCTACAAATCGTCTGCGTGTAAATAAATAAACTCGTATAAATAAATTTAATTTCATCCCTCCCCTAAATTGGAGGCGCTTCAAATATTCAAGAGTCGTGAACGCAACCCTTCCTTCAGTTAAGGGCGATACTGAAGCTGTATGGTATAATTCAAGAGAGTCAAAACGGTACTATGAGCAAAAAATAATTCTCGTCGTTAAGATAACCACAAGCCTACAAATTTCTATTATAAAAGTAAATTTTTAACATAAGTAAATCAAACTATATCACTCCCATAATTATTATTACATCAACCTATTTTCATTAAAGTCTAGTTTAGTTTTTCGTGATATTGACGAAAATAGACAGTTTTTACACTCAACAGGCATTCACTAAGTTTTTTAGGCATAAGGCATTTGCGTCCGGTCCCTATATTTTAACAAAATTTTGCTAATGCAATCACGGGCAAAGATTTTTAAAGTAATAATGATGCTATAAATGAGAGGTTTAAAAGTATTTTATTTTTAAAATCGCTTAAGTAGATATCATAGACCACAGGACAAGGCCGGCATAGACATACCGGTGTAGATACACGGCAATTTTTCCTCGCGTCTGGTAAACAGGAAACATTTACGTGTCGACAGCGCGAGTAATTACCGACTCGGAACCTACACGTACAAGGACTAAGGCGGAATACCTATGTATACTTTTATAATAATTTTAACACATAGCTGTGACTTCTTTTATTACTGTCACATAGTATAAACTAACCTTTACCCGCGACTACGTCCGCTTGACCGGAATACGTTCATTGATCCGGAAGAACAGTGGCCTACGTCTTTCTTCATCCCATATAGTACTTGTATAACAAATTTTATAGTAATTGATTAAGTCATTAATGAGCCAAGGAGTAAGAAACAAATAAACAACCTCCGTTTTAAATTTATAATATTAGTGGAAATTATATAAGTCTAAATTTAGTTATTTATAATGGAAAGTATTGGAATTGTATACCTACTAGTAGTAGTAGTAATATTTAGGAAAGAAAAAAATTCAAGAGGCATAGACGAAATATTAATATAATATAATATTTTCTGTACTTTTTATACTATGTAAACTTCGCGATAAATTAATAATTTTTATTTTAAACATATTTTAAAGTTTCATTAATACCATCAATGGTTTTCAGCTTATTAAATTCATTGCTAGTAAATAAAACTTGTTTAATAACCATGTCATATTTCTAATCTTAGTACCATTAAAGTTCGAAATATTAAATAATATTTAATTTACTATAATAAAATTTATACATGATATTACAAAACAACTATATTCTTCTGCGAAGAAAATTTATATGGATTTTGATTGTTAGTCCGTTTGTAATAAAGGTACTCGTAAATAATTAATTATCTTATACAACAAGAAAATGACTTACGATTTTTGTATGGTACTCACTTGAAACCTTCTCATGTCTCGTGGATTGCCGGCATTCTTCAAACAATTCTGGTTGCACTTTAGAAAGAACTTGAGAAAGAATCTGAAACAACATAATATAATATTCTAATAACGGTTTTGAGACAACACTATTAAATAAAAATTACAAATCTTTTCCCAATAATATTTCAAAATTTTACTGAATATTTTTGTAACAAACTTCCATTAAAACCACTAATTGACAATTGAACGATGGTTTTCCCTGCCCTGAGAAGAGTAAAAGTGAATGAAATATACAAAGCTGCTACAACCACCTAGCAGAGACATAAAACTTCGTTCGGGGTGTGAACAGTAATGCGATGCAAATGATGCGGATACATAAATCTGGACGTGAACTGTTCTCTATTAAACAGTTCTGTGTCGGTACAGATTGAAGTGAATGCATATTTTACCCAAACCAAAAAAAAAGAGGGTAATGTTTTTTAGATTATATTTTAATAAACAAGATGTAAGAGTTGTTAGATTCTTAATTTTATATAAGACTATCAATCAATACATATAATAAAATCGTAACTGTTCGCTGTCTGTTCATGGAAGATATAAGAAAAACTTTTATAGTAGGTCTTTATGAATGCAGAAGAATCCAAAACAATATTTTTTAGAAATTTTTGTCTGTATTTATGTGCACGCTAATCTCAGAAACAACTTAACTGATTTCAATGTGGTTTTCAATAATACGTGATGGTTTGCTTCACCTAATATTTAGTGTCTATTTTATTTCAATCGGTTCATAAATAAAAAAGTAATCAATCTAAAAAGTCCCATATAAAATGCTGTAAAATAATGATTAGTTGAATTGGCTAAAACTTTTTTATTATATGTATTGATTTTCGAAAATTCTGTCTATTCGCGAGAAGCCGGGTCGGATCGCTATTATATAATAAATATGGTCTAAATACTTTTTTAACCTAAATTTTATCGTAAGTAATATAAGTATCATATTTTAAATCAGGAGTTTACGACCTGAAATGAGAATAGGATAATCTTTAAATTACAATATACAATAGGTATATAAAATAGATAGAATATAAAAGGTTCTCGAATAGCAACCCCGTACACGTAAATGATATTGCTTTTTAACTCAATGGATAACTGTGGCAAAGTATATCAATTACTAAAACAAAACACATTTATACCTAATGTAAACTTTGTGGCAGTATTTTTTGTTACCTGTACTAAAATCGTTATAAACTAATATGAAATTTAAATCCAGATGTTTCCACTTCAAAGCTTTTAAACGATTCATTTGTTTTTCATGTTCACAAATTTGTATCTTCCGCCCTTCCACAGAATCATTAGTTTTTTTTTTTTACATATTGATGGTAACTTTTACACTTTCAAATGAGATTTTTTTTAATTAAGTGTACTTTATACCTTAACTTTAGACTGTTATTTGAAAATTGTAGTTACATGAAATACCAATACTATATACGTATAATACGCAAAAAGTAATAAAATTTTATTTATAATTTAAAAATAAGAACGAATTCAGAGTAAAGTGTATTAGATCAACTATCAACATATCGTGTTACAGACAATGGTAAGTCTGCTATTTTTATATGTATTTGACTTTAGCTCTTATAACTTTTACGTTAAGGTCCAATGAGTATGTATTGTTAAATCTGGTTGTGCGTATTGAGCGTACGATCAGGCAAACGATCACGATGAATGCTTTAGCAGAAATATTTTACATAGCCCGAGGCACCGGTAAAGCCGTGCCGAATATTGCTGTGCCAACAGTTCTAGATATTAATGGAGTGGATACAACGCCCTTCGGATTCGTTAATTCACAACAACGTATTATTTTAAACATTTTTATGTTGTTGCAGTTGTGTACTTGAAGTTTAACTAAATACTTTAAGGTCGTACCTACTTCTAAATTATTTTTATGCAACTAAGAATGGCAAACAAGTTTACAGGCTACCTGATTGAAAGTGGTAACCGTCACCTATAGACATGGGCAGTGCCACGGACATTACTGTTTCGCCCATGTTACCCCCCCCCCCCCCCATGCGTTGCCATTCCTGAGGACTCAAACGTTATTCCTCTGTACTCTGTACATTCACTGCCCTTTAAACCTAAACACAGCTATGCCTTTGCATAGCTGTGTTTAGGTTGGTAGAACAGAAAACTGTTTCACGGTAGAAAAATAAAAAATAATAATAAAAAAATACAACAATAATCTAAAACTAAATTTATAATAATGAGCTATAAAAATATAGAAAACTAATATACCATCTACTCTTACTTCTATACTAAATAACGAGATAAAAAATTTGTAAAGGGTAAGCTTTCAAAATGTTAATAATGTAATTTTTCATAAAAATAGAAAAGGTAACGTGAGCAAAGTTGCTGGAAACAGTCAAAAATATTTATATTATAATTCAGAGAAGTTTATAGTTTCACTTACCCCAAAGCATAAACAACTACAATGAAGATTTTTAATAATAAAACACTTAATTTACAGTTGGGATAAAGCAAAATTTAAGCTTTATCCTAACTGTAAATTAAATGCAGTCTATGGTAATAACAGCTCTATAAAATCCCAAAATGAACGAGATACGTATGGCGCGAACGTATTTGTAGTGCCCGCGGCGCAACACATCTGTTCCCGCATTATTTATGTTAAACACCTTATGTCACAATATTGCGAGTTAGAAGTTTAGCGGACGTCAAGCCACTCCATGCACAATGTAACAGTACTGAAAATTCATTTCAATGAAGTTGGAGCTGATTATTTTTAGAACCGAAATGAATGAATAACGCAGTAGCTTTTACCAGAGGGCGACTTTATACAAACTTGGTCTACGCTGGGAACTTCTGTCTCAGTGGTGTTTGCATTCTGTATTTCGATTTGATGAATATAATACAAAGTACGAAAATATAACACATTAATTAATACTAAGGTGTTAGTTAGGTATCACGGAGGCATAACACAAAATAAATAATGAATGCAACGCATGATTGGTATCATGGTTAGTCATATCCATAGATGACTGACTTGATACTTTCATTTTAGTGACCTGTCAACTCTTTTGCGATTACAAGTAGCATACAAAAGCTATGCTTGATATAGGTTCTGAATAATAAAAAAAAATAAGCACTAAAAATCACACCGGAAGACCACACTTGTATAATGGTTCGAAATTTAAGTTATAGTAAATTTACATATAATTTTATTCAATAAATTACATGAAAATTTACTACTAAGAATAATTATTAATAATCATTTTTATAATATTATTTTGTAAAAATGCTGTTACAGAGAATTCACACTTAAGCTAAGACCATAAATATCATTGTAAGGGGCGCGTGACAGTTGTTTTATCCACCATATTACTCCTACAGTGACCACTAAGCCAAGAGTCACCTATGGCTATGGGAAAATAAGTAGGATCTATGAGATGGTAAGTTCTATCGATGTCCATAGGAAATAGAAATGACACCTGGTTTAGTTTGAGTAAATTTTATATTATTGTAGATTATCTACAACAACTTATAAGTTCAAAAAAAGGATATTACATTCATTTGCTTTAAAAAATCTAATCTAGTCTATTGTGTTCATGTCTTGACAAATTCTAACCAATTTTGATAATTAATTTTGCTAATATTTTTTTCCATATTTTTTGTCCATATAATAAAATGGTAAAATGTAGATTTATTCTACTACTCTACTTTCTCTTTTTATCTCATAGTTATATTTTAGTGCAAGAAAGAAATAATGATGAGAAAATTATATTGCATTTAACATAACTATAATTAAATGAACATAATAATGTAATTACTTTATCTTAATTCTATAGAGATGTATTTATTTTTTCTATTCAGGAATTCCATTAAGTCTCGGTGACGATACAACAAAGCGAATTGTCGTAAAGGCGTTAATTTACCCAAGTCGCGACGTGATTTACGACCGTCCTAGCACCTCTAATGCTACGCTCTACTACTGAGCAGTGATCACGAATTCAGGATACTGTTCATTTCATTTACTTATCTAGAAATCAAATGCTTATAAATGATAATGATGAAATAATAAAATAGAATGTTAATCATGATTATTTAAAGAGACTTCTTCACAAGCTGCTTTAAATCACTAATCTAATCTTTTATATATATATATATATATATATATATATATATATATATAAATAATACTGATTCTAGAATGTTGTTATCTGCTTAATACCCAACAATTACTTTTTTCAAACTAATTTAAGTTAGATAGTAATATACATAAGAATATTTTTACATTTACTGTAAATAAGAGTAAGTACTTATTATTCCATTATCAGAGTTTCTTTTTTATATTTGATATTATAGATAAAATTATTATTCAGAATTCTCTTAAAAAAATTAACGTATACGTGGTATTATGGAATGAACTTTTTTATGCACAAACAAAATTGTCATAGGCTAATAAACTATAAACCTTCATAAACCATTTAGGGAAGCTCCTCAATCCACTCGCATAATATAATCATAAAAACTAAAACCTCTAGGCGTTGCCTGCGACGAAATCAAACCATTCTCAATAAAAGTACCCACTACCTACCTACACGGATATTTACCTATCGCATCACGAATAGAAAGGAGACTGTGTATCCGTCGTAAAAACTAACCCCCTCTTTCGTCCCTTATACGAATACCCCTCAGATAGGCTTATCGACACATTCCGAGGGGAACGAGGTAAGTGCATTCTGAAATATCACAATATCATAACATTATTAAAGAATGCAGCATATACTGCACAGTCATAAGTCTTTTTTTTATATTTAATATTTAGAATATAAATCAATGGAACGCAATTTTCTATTTTATTGTCGATCAAGTATTGAACAGAAGACATTGAACTTCAGTTTAACCGTAAAACTTTTTTTTTTACTTAGATACTGTAATTTTTAAAAGCAAGATTTTTAAACTTAGTCATCATCATAATATCAGCCATTATCTGTCCACTGCTGAACATAGGCAACCCTCACAGACTACCATAAAGAACGATCCTGAGCCACCTGCATCTACTGACTCCCTGCAATATATATGATG